GTCATCATCAGCATTACCATAGGCATCATCGTCGCCGCCGTCGCCACCATCACCATCATCATCATCATCATCAGCAGCAGCAGCAGCCGCATCACCATCACCATCACCATCATCATCATCATCATCATCATCATCATCATCATCATCATCATCACCCGCATCGTCATCTCCATGGTTCTTCGGACCCGTACTGTATGGTTGGAGTCGCTCTCCAGTCACCAGCGGCCGTTACACCTGCGCGGTGGGGCGCAGACATAACAGGGTGTGTCGGACCACCGGGTAGCAGTTCCGTCTGCAATGCGCGGTTGCGGCTCCCCACCAAAGACCACGGCATCGGGTGAGAATGTGTCTTCGCTCCACTGCGACCACAAGTGAACATCCTGCTGCATCAGATCTGGCCCTTGTGCAACGGCGGTGGGCGAGTTCACTTCCCTCTACATGCTCTTGGGCTCCAGGTGTCCCTCGTGCGCCGGCGGTCCGTCACAAGGCAGTCCGCGGTCTCGGCCTATCCATGTGGTGCCTTTCGTCATCGCCCCCTTCCGCGAGTTCACTGGGCCTTGCCATTGGGTGGAGAGACCACCTCTGCCGCGGCAGCGTTGCGCACCCTCCTCGCGGTCCTCTTGTACATCAAAGTGGTTGACCATCCTTGTGTTCCAGCCAGGCTCGGCCCCCCGAAAAAAACTGACCACGCCTGGGTCTGGCATCCCCACTGCCAGCAGCGTCGCGCGAGATACCTCGTGGCTTCTGGCGCGCAGTCTTGCGCCCTCAACTTGGCACCAGCGCTATGTGTCATTTTGTTGTTATGATTGCTGTGGTTGTTCGGGGCGTGCCCCATCGCGGGCGCGTCATCAAGCAGCGCTTCATCGGGGAGCGCGTCGTTGGGTGCCTGATCGTGGGGCGTTTCGTCGTGGCGCGCTTCATTGCGGCGAGCTTCACCGTGAAAGCTTCGCGGGGTTGCCTGACGACGGCGCTCGCAGCGTCCGCGTGGTTCTTCCTCAAGAGGCTCGGGCAAGTCTTCATATCGGCGCTCGGGCCAATGCTGCGTTTGGACTGCTCCATTCACGGAGGTTTTCGTCGCGTGTTCACGGAGGTGTTTTCGGAGATCTGCTCGATGGCGGTGCGTTGCACAGAAACGGTTTTTCATTATCGAAACGCGCTTCATCACCGAGGCGTGCTTCGCGGAGGTACGCTTGGAGGAGGTGCACTTCATTATCCAAGCGTGCCTCGTGGAGGTGTGCTTCAATATCTAAATGTGCGTTTACGGATGCGCGATTCATAAAATGGAGGCGCGCCGCATCACGGAAGCGAACTTCCCCAGGGAGGCGCGTTTCATCGAGGCGTGCTTCGCGGAGGCGTTCTTCACGGAGGCGCGCCTGAAGAAGGCGCGTTTCATGGAAGCGCGCGCAACCGAGGCGCGTCACGGAGGTGCGCATCATTCACGAAGTGTGCTTCACGGAGGCGCGCTTCCGGGGTAGCTGTGCGTCCCGGAGGCAGGCTTCATCACAAGGCGCGCTTCATCAGGGAGGCCCGCTTTACGAAGGCCTGCTTCATGATGGAGACGCGCTTCACGGAGGCGGACTTCATCGGCGCATCCCGCCTTTCCTGGGCGGTGGCTTCTGCAGGTCCTCGTATCCACTGACTACCTACCAGACCACCCCAACCCAACCCGAAGACCCGAATTTCGGGTTGGGGGGGGTAAGGGTTCCACATGTGTTTTTTCGACGTTCCCAGACCCCCCCCAACTGGAAATGGAGGGCAAATTGAGGCCTTCGGGTTGGGTTGGGGTGGTTTGGTGGGTGGTGATCCACGGCTCCTCGGGCCCGCACTGCCTGGCCGGGGTCGACTTCGCGCTCAAAGGCGCGGGGCCCACGCGAGTGCCCCACCTCGGCGACGGCAGCAGCAGCACCACCACCAGCCGTCTCTGTGGTCGGAAGCAGCGGCGACCGCGCTCTCGACGGCGCAGCGGGCCCACACTCTTCATTATTATTATTATTATTATTATTATTATTATTATTCGTATTATTCTTATTATTATTATTCTTATTATTCTTATTATTATTCTAATTACCTCACGGGGGCGGAATTCAGCATGGACGCGTGCTTCATCGGGGAGGCGTTTTCCACCGAGGCAGACTTCATAATGAAGCTAGCTTCATCCGGCAAGTCTGCTTCGCGGCGGCGCGCGCCACGAAAACGTTTTTTCATCATGGAGGCGTGCTTCAACACCGGGGCGTGCTTCTCAGAGGCGTTTTCGCGGAGGTGCACTTCACGATCCAAGTGCACGTCGCAAAGGCGTGCTTATCATTGAATGTGCATGCCGGAGGCGAACCTCATCATGGACGCGCGTTTCATCGCGGGTGCGAACTTCCTCGGGGAAGCGCACTTCATCGGGAAATGTTTCACAGAAGCGTTCTTCGAGGAAGCGTGCCTCAAGGAGAGTGCTTCACGGCAACGAGCTTTACCGAGGTGTATTCCACGGATGTGTGCGTCACCGAGGAGGCATGAATCATGCAGGCACGCTTCGAGGATAGCTATGCGTCACGGAGGCAGGCTACATCGTGGAGACATGTTTCATGGAGGCGTGCTTCATCGGCGTGTCCCTCCTTTCCTGGGTGACGACGTATGATAGGTCATCATATCCATGGCCCCTTGGACCCGCACTGCCTGGCCGGAGTCGCTCCCCAACCACCGGCGGTCGTCACACCCACGCGGCGGCCAGAGCCCACGGCATCGGGTGATCATGTGGATTCACACCACTGCGACCACTCATCATCATCATCATCATCATCATCATCATCATCATCATCATCATCATCATCATCATCATCATCGTCGTCATCATCATCATCAGCATCATCAGCATCATCATCATCACCAGCATCATAATCAATATCAATAGCATCATCATCGTCATCACCATCATCATCAGCATCATGATCACCACCACCAACATCGGCATCATCGTCGCCGTCGTCATCATCATCGTCATCATCATAAGCATGATCAACATCATCATCCTGGTCATCATAATCGTCGTCGTCGCCATCATGACTATAATCGTCGTCAGCATCATCACAATCATCCTCAATATCATCATCGTAGCACTCATCATCTTCATCATCACCATTATCATCACCATCATCACCATCACAATCAGCATCAGCAGAATCAGCACCATAATCGTCACCAGAATCATCCAAAGCATCATAATCCTCATCATCAGCAGCAGCATCACCAGCATGATCATCGTCATCATGTTAAACACTAGCATCCTCATAGCCATCACCAACATCAGCATCAGCATCACGAGAAAAATCAGCATCAGCAGCATCAGAATCATCATCATCACCAATATCAGCAACATCCGCATCATCATTACGATCGTCATCGTTACCGTCGTCATCATCCTCATCATCCTCATCATCTTTATCAACACCAGTATCAAAATCAGCATCATCTGAATCCTCACAACCCTCCCCATCACCAGCAGCAGCATCAGCATCAGCATCATCATAACCATCGTCATCCTCATCATCAACAACATCAGCAGCATCATCAGCACCATCATGAAGTGCATCATCATCAGCATCAGCATCAGCATCATCATCACCAGCATGACCATCAGCATCCTCATCCTCATCCCCCTTTCCGCTCCCCTTTCTCAACCGACGGTAGCACGCGAAGTCTCCTCGGGATGTGTTCGATTGAACTGGTTATCTTGATAACCGCATCAACTCGTAAGATACGCAACCTTTTAACTGACTCATGGGCCCCTTGAGCATCAAATGGCCATGGTACAGAGATAAGTGAAACAATTGCTTGCAACACACCTACAATGCTGAAACTGCTGAACTGTGCGAATACACAAGTTAACCCACATGAAACTCGGCTGGGGGCGGTTTTAAGCGAGTCGTCGGGGAACTGCAGATGGCTCTTGCTGAGCTGCTACTTCCTGACAGCGTGGTTCCGCACCGTTAGGCCTAGACTGCGGTGCGCACCCTTCGGGGCCAGGTCGAGCACGGTGCCGCGCTTGCTCATCCAGTCGCGCGCGCGCTCGGCTGCGCGCGAGCCCCCCGCGCCCATGCGCATCGCCTCAGGTCTGCCGGACCAGCTGATCCACAGCGTCTCTCATAGTTTCGACCCCTTCAGGAACGTCTCCTTCGAGATCGGGCAGTCGACCTCGCAGCGCGTCAACTCGCCCATACTGGCCGGGATATTCCTCTCCTTCTTCCACGTGATGTAGTAGACATCGGTGCAGACTACCTCGTTGAACCTCCTGACCCTCGTCAGCACTGCGACGCGCACCGCTCGGGGCCTTTGCCTGCCTCAGCAGATCTCGCACTGGAAGAGCCCGGCGCGCTGGACCCACGCTGCCGGCGCGCCCGCACGCTGCGCGGCGACCGCCAGCGCTAGGTTCGAAGGGCGGCCCAGGCTGACAGGTGCACGCGTAACTGCTCGGATCGTCGACACGTCCTGGATCGCGCCGGCGCGCTCGATGGCGCCGATGCCCCTGCAGACCTCCTCGGCCGCGCTGGCGTCGCCGAAGTCGTCGGCCATGCCCTGGCAGGCGATCGCGCACGCCATCCCCCTCGCCAATGGCCTCGGGAAGTTCTGAGCCTGTCGGGCAAGCTTGCCCCTCAGGATCACGCGGCCCCCCGTGCACGCGCATGCCCGGGCCACGTGGTGAACGACCTCCTAGTTGGTCGACTGCAGTCTCGCGGGCTTCTGGCATTGCACACGTTTGCCCTGGATCGTGCACTTCGCAACTAGCCTGCACTGATCGAGCCTGCAGTGATGTCCTGGCAACTTATCCCACGTCTTCCTCCGCCAGTGTAGCCCCTGCCACGGGCCGTCTACATGCGCGCGTCGATTTCCGTTCTGCCGCTTCACAGACGCCGTAAGAATCATCTTGAGAAACGCCCGCACTTCTCGCCCCCTGGCATCACTGATCTCCTCGGCGCGCTCCTCTGATCTTCTCGTTCACGCGATGCCAGGAGCACCGGTGCTTGCACGGGGGGGCGATGAAGATACCGTCGGGCTTGTCGTTGTCCACCTTGCTCAGGAGGTCGCGGATCACGGCAGGCTCGAAGAAGCCCCAACACCCCTCGACCCCGCACTGGATCGCCTCGATCTGCGGGAACTCGACGAGCAGCTCCTGCGACAAAGCCCCCTGGCCCACGAGAACCTCCCAGACCAGCTTCTCGCGCGGCCCGCGCAGCGCGTCCATCATGTCGGACGACGCCTGCTCCAGCGCCCGGACCATTCCCGAGTAGGTGTCCGCATCCATCCGGTGCCGCTCCGGGCCTATGACCTCCTCCGCGGCAAAGGCCTCGTCGTCGCTGCCGACCTCGCAGCACTCCGCCCGCGCCCCAAGGCAAAAGGTGTCGGGGGCAGGTGTCGACGTCATCACCACCGCCTTTGGCCGACTCTCCATTGGTGCCCTTGTCCGTCGAGTCGCCGCCGCTGCCATCGCCGTCGGCGTGGGCCCCCCTCGTTCACGGCATCCCCGGCGTCGCGCCCAGTTCCGCCCAACAGGTCGATGATGAAATGGCCCCTCTCGTCACGCCTGGACGTTATCCAGCCCTCGTTGGGAAGATCCTTCATCATGAACGCTCCAGCGCGGCAGTCCTGGATCAAGCCCCACTCCTCCACACAGGGTCGCGCGATCAGCAGCGGCGCCCAGCCGTCGACGAGATGGATCGCAAGCTGCTTCTTGATGCCAGACGGCCACACCGTCAAAGTCACCGCTGGCTTGGCCCCCAGCGTCTTGCCATCTCCGAATCGGAAGCGCCGATCGCTCCTGCTAAACTCGACCTCATGCAACAACTGTCTCGCGCGCAGTAGCTCCCCCCACTGCGCCCGCACTTTGTCGCCCATGACGGGCCCTGTTGAACCTCCATCGCTGACGCCCTTACCGATGGTCAGCAGGTAGACTTCCTCGGACGAGTTAGCAGACTCCAGCGTCTCAACATCCCCCACCACGCGTGCCTCGTCGTCGGGCATGGCGAAGCCTCCGCACCTGAGACGTCTGAACCTCGGGCCGCTATGTCGGGTTGCGCCCGACCCTGTTGAATCTGCCGATGATGGCACACCCTCGCCAAACACTCCATTCTGAGGCCTGAGCACTTCTCGTCGTGGTGGTCCGAATCCTTTTGCCGCGTCCCTTGGCTTTGCCACGCCCTCTGCCTTTGCCCGCGCCGGTCCTCGTCGCTCTCGCGGGTCCTGCGCGGCCGTCGCGCTGGTAGTTGTTCCCTGGGGCGAGGGCGACGATCGGGTAGAATCCTCTCGACTTAGCGATCTCCGCAACACGTTTCTTCGCATCCACGAAGCTGAGGTAGGCGTCGTCGCACGTCACTTGGGCCTCCTAGATCTCCTGCGATAACTCTTCCCCGACGTCGGCCTCCTCCTCGTTCTGCTCGTAGTCGTACTCCTCGTCGCCCTTGTACTCTTCCTCCTCCAGGTACGGGTCTTCGTAGCTCAGGCCTCGCCCCCATTCGCAATCGTTCGCGTCCGAACTCTGACCGAGTAGCATCTTCTCTACTCGCTTCACATCTCGCTTGTCGGGCATCGCTTCGGCTGCATACGCGTCGAACAAGGTTTTCTTCACCTTAGTCCAACTGAGGCCGTCTACACACTGACTTCGACCCTGGGCGGCGCCCGATGGGGGCACAGCCGCTCATGCGAGGAGGTGCCAGCCCGCCAGCATATCTGGGATCTCCATCCCAACCTCCCTGAGTTTCCTGAGCTCTCTCTTGTGGCGCAGGCAGCACAGCTTCATTGTCTCCTTCTCCTGGCGAGCGAACTTGCCGAAAAAGAAATCTGCACGGGCTGGCAACTCAGTCTGGTTGTCGTACTCGTAATACTCGTCCAGCACCTGGAACAATGGCCTGAAAGCCACTTCCGTCTCTAGCAAGTCCAGGTCGATATCCTCCGTAGCCCCCGCGGCCGCGCCTTGCAGTGAATTCATGACAAGAAACGCCCCCTCACTGACAGCGGTGGTGCCGCGTTTCTTACAGCAACGCTCGAAGACCTCAAGCTTACGCCGAAATACTCGATAACCGTCGGTTCTCAGCAGCTCATAACTCGGCGCCGTCTTCGACAGGCCTGCGTCTAGGCCTCGTCCTCCTCCGTCCCACGTGGAACTCTCCTGTCGATCCCACAAGCTTGCTTGCCAGCCGTTCCAATCCGTGTAATTGGCCTCGTCGCCGTCCACGCTGCTCGGCGGGATGCGACTGCCCTCCGCGCCGGCGTCGGCGGGCGCGGCGGTTGAGGCTGCCGGCGGGCCGCCAAGCGGCGGCCTGGCCGGCGGCGGCACGCGAGGCGCGCCGTCTGGCGTGGAGGCGACGGAGGAACCGGAGAGAGTGGATCTCTGGCTCCGCCACCATTATCAACCAATGGTAGCACACGAAGTCTCCTCGGGATGTGTTCGATAGAACTCATCATCGTGATAATCGTATCAATTCGTAAGATACGCATCCTTTTAACTGACTCAAGGGTTCCTTGAACATCAAATTGCAATGGTATAGACATCTATGAAACAATTGTTTGCAACACACCTGCTATGCTGAAACTGCTGAGCTGTGCCAATACACCAGATAACGTACATGAAACTCGGTATCACGGGGGTTATATTGACAACCCTCCCCCGCCCCCTCCACCTCCTTCTCCCTCCCCCTCTCCTTCCCATCCCCTCCCCCATGCCCCATCCCTCTCCCCCATCCTCGTCCTCCTCTCCCAATTACCACTGCGAGCGGCGGGCTGGTCTGTTCGCCGTCAACGCTCTCTCTGTCTGAGCCGGTCTGAGCCCGGCGACGACCGCGGCAACGGCGAACCCCGCGCTTGCCCCCTACGCAGGCGCGATGGGCATCAAAACAACAGCAGAGGGGAGGGCGCGCACCCAGCGATGGCGGGCGGCAGCGTCTCGGGCGACAGGACGTCGCCGACGAAGACCTCGCGGACGCGGCGGCGAGGCGGAGGCAGGAGGAAGCCCAGACCTCCACCGTGGTGAAAAATTCAATGCGGAGGTTTGTCGTAGTTTTCTGCCCTTGGGGACCGACCCTAGCAGGGCCCTGGGACCGTCAGGAAACCACTCGTGATGCAAAACTGGGCCTCGGGAAGCGGGTCGAGACTTCTGGAACGAATGAACGACCAAAAGAACGAAGCTGCCGTCGCCAGGAAACCAGCGTCCCTGCAGGGGAGGCAGACGCGCTGGTCGTGCGCAGGCCTTTTACGAAGGCCACTACATGGGGAATTGTGTCGAATTCAAATGAATCACGAAACGCTTGCACAAGAAGTCGCGCGGTCATCGCCATGCGTGCTGCAGAAAATCCCGCTCGTGATTTCTGGGGACCCCGTGTTGCAAAACACAGGACAGGAATCTCTGCAGGGGGGAGGGAAGGGGCAGGGCAGAGCAGCAGAATCGGGCCAGGGACAGGATCGAGGTGCGTGTTTGGACGTGTCTGGCCCTTCTTTGGTCGTCCGGAGGCTCTCCCGAGGCCCCCACGGGACTGAAACCCGCGGGCTACGCCGTGCCCCAGCGCGGAAGGGGAGGGAAGGAGCGGCAGAGAAGAGGCAAGGCAGCCGAGGAAGCAGAGCAGAAGAAGGAGGAGCACGAGAAGAGTAACGGTTTTCCTCGGGATGCCCATGAAAGTAAACCGCCAGGACCTTTGCAACGCGCAACTGGCGCCATCGGCACGCGCTGGCGCTGTCCGTCGCGCGCGCGCCAGCCACTCCATGGCAAAATGTGGCTGTTGCATTGTGTCTGGGTGGTGTGAGTCCACTTGCTCTGGCCTCCTCCTCCTCCTCCTCCGCTTCCTCCTCCTCCTCCTCCTCCTCCTCCTCCTCCTCCTCCTGCTGCAGGGGTGGGAATGGCACGAAAACTTGTAAATGGTATAGTGTTCGAATACCCTGCGCGCTCTGGCGGGGCCTTTCTGGAGGGGCAGGAGCGGCACGAAGCTTTGTAAACCTGACCGGACAAGAACGGGAAGCGTCGCCTCAGTCCACCAAGCATGCTGTTGTTACGCCGCGCAGGTATGCCGTGGCGCGCGTGTCGGCGTGCGTGCGGGGTGTGTGTTGCTGTGCTCCTGTGTGTTCTGCCGTGCTCCTGTTCTGCCGTGCTTCTGTGTTCTGCCGTGCTTCTGTGTGCTCTGTGTGTTCTGCCGTGTTCCTGTATTCTGCCGTGCGGATCGTCGCGGTGGTCGTTTTGGCGGAGCTTCTGGGCGCGCACGGCAGAAAAAGACCAGGTGCACGGCAGAATAGACCCCAAGAGTGGGGAGGCGGCTCCCGACACAAAGCCTGCGCACAGCCCGCGGCTCCGGAGGCAGATTCGGTAAGCCTCCGGAGCGTCCCTGGGCTGCCCTGGAGGCTCGCCCCTGGCACCCAGCGAGGCGGCCGCTGCTAACCGCAGCAAAGAGAAGAAGGCGGAGGAACAGGCAAAGGGGTAGGACGAGAATGGCCGAGAATGGCGAAAATGACGAACAGGGAAAGATAATCGGAACAAAAATGCTCAAGGGGAGGCAGACGAGGAGGGGGGCGGGGGCAAAGAAGCTGAGAGGAGAGGAGGAGGACGACGACGGGAAGGAAGGCGGAAGAGGAAGAGAACGAGGCGGAGGATTGCCAGGCAGATGATGATTAGGAATAATGCAAGCGCGACAGGAGGATCAGGAGAGGAGGATGAAGATCAGAAGGATCAACAGATCAAAAGATAAAATGACAGTGTATTGCACTATTTGCCTACCCCGTACAGCCTATAGCTTATCATCCCCACCCCCTGTCCACATGTGTTTTCACATTTTCATTCTTGCCAATCGGTCATTGAAAGTATGTATTTTTACGGTGTCCCAGGATCCAGTCTATTCTAAGTGCCTTCCTACTTCCTTCCCACTTCCATCTTCAACTTTAAGTGTCCAGAGGGCGGACGGAACCTAATCAACCTAATGCACTAATGCACTATCCACGCTGTCCTACGTTTTACCCTACTTCTTCCTACCAGCCGTCTGAGTTGGATCACATTGGAGCGCGGCCCCCATGATGGCCGCAATCCAATGCAATCCTCAATCCTACTCGGGATACGTATGACATGTGGAGGTGTAGTAGTAGTAGTAGTAGTAGTAGTAGTAGTAGTAGTAGTAGTAGTAGTAGTAGTAGTAGTAGTGATCGTAGTAGTAGTAGTAGTAGTAGTAGTTGTTGTTGTTGTTAGTAGTAGTAGTAGTAGTAGTAGTAGTAGTAGTAGTATAGTAGTAGTAGTAGTAGTAGTAGTAGTAATAGTAGTAGCAGCAGCAGCAGCAGGAGTAGTAGTAGTAGTAGTAGTCGTAGTAGTAGTCGTAGTAGTAGTAGTAGTAGTAGTAGTAGTAGTAGTAGTAGTAGTAGTAGTAGTAGTAGTAGTAGTAGTAGTAGTAGTAGTAGTAGTAGTAGTAGTAGTAGTAGTAGTAGTAGTAGTAGTAGTAGTAGTAGTAGTAGTAGTAGTAGTAGTAGTGGAGGTGGGCCATTTTTTCACTTCACGCGTGGTGCTGGCTCGAGTCTCGAGCCTCTGGGGCTCTGCCGATCCTGGCGCCGCTGGCGCCGCGCCGCGCCGACGCCCGCGCCCAGACGGCGCTGGCGGGTCGGCAGGCTGGCGCGCCAACGGAGGGGGCGGGGGCTCGGGCGGAGGGCGCCGCGGCCGCCACGGCCGCAACGCCGACGCCCCGACACGGGACAGAGAGACAGAGAGACAGGAGGGAGAGACGGAGAGGAGATTGAGAACTTGAGTTTTTGAGGATTGCGTGAAGGCGTGGATTTCAAGGGTTCAGGGCCGTCTCGAGGGACGAGGGGGGAGGGGCCCTCCGGATGGGAGGGGCTGCATGCGCATAGCATGGCATAGAAGCGTCTATGCCAGAACATTGAGCCTGTCCGCCACACCCGCAGACGAACGAGGCTGGAGCGCACACCCGAAGCGCTGGGCCAGTTGCAGCGTGTGCTGTCATGGCCAAAATTCAAATTCAGACACAAACAAAACAAACAAATTCGAAACTAAAATTGTGGAATACACGCGCATCGACATACATGCGCAACGCGAAAAAAACTCACACAACTTCGCGTGACATTGAGCAGCCAGTAATCACCGAGCGAGTTCCACTACTCGCAAAATAACTACTTGCAAATTGCCTGAATCCGCTGTGGGATCTCCTACTTTGAATTTCATCGAAGCGTGACATAAGCAGACATGATGTGTTGTTCGGACGTTTGCGATTTGCGAGTAGGCACTTTCCGAGTAGTGGAGCGCGCTCGGTGAGGTATCACCGTGCGCTGGTCACCGCATCAGGTGCTTCAGATGCTTCGGGGGCGCCGCCGCGGGCCCGCTGCCGTTGGCGTCGCCGTCGGTGCCGGTGCCCTTGCCCTTGCCCTTGGCCTTGCCCTTGCCCTTCTTGGGCACGGGCTTCGGGGTGGCGGTCAGCGCATGGGGCGCGGGCCTCCTGGTCAGGCGGAAGCGGGTCCCCTCCGCCGCCTTGTCGAAGGCGGCCACCGCATCTGTGGACATCTCCAGCTGCACGACGGTCATGCGCACGTCGAGAGCCTTGAGATCCGCGATCTCTGTGTACTTGTACGTCCACGTGACCGTCTTCTCCACGCACGCCATCAGGAGGTCCGTGGGCTCTGCAGCCTCTTTCTCCTTCAGCTCGGTCACCATCCAGGCTGGGCTGAACTCTGGGACGGCGAAGGAGCCGTGGCGGCCCACAGAGTTGAACAGCTCAACGCCAGCGACCTTGCACAGCGGGATCGCGCCGACCTCGGGGCAGCGGGTCACCTGGGCAACGAAAGAAGAGGCCGACATATCTGACATGTAGACATGTATCTTCAATCTCGACGCGTCGACCCCCGCTCCCCCCCCCTCTCTGAGAGGGAGCGGGGGCGGAGAAGAAAGGTGGAGGGGAGGGCCAGGGAGGGCGGAGGGGACGCGATAGGGACATGGGCAGCAGGGGCCGAGAGGGGAGGGGGGGAGAAGAAAGGAACAATAACAGGAACGTTAAGGGATCAGGGACAAGGAGCAGCGGCACTGACGGGGCGGGACCGCGGACCCCATGGAGCTGCCGAAAGCGAGGGGCTCGGGAGGGGAGGCCGATGGACGGCGGCGACGGCGGCGCGGCGCCGCCGCTGGGCCGCTGGGCAGCTGGGCAGCCAGCCAGGTGACCAGGTGGGCCCGGGACGCTTTTGAGCAGCGGGTTTTGGTGGGAGTGAGGGGCCCTCACTCCCACCAAAACCCGTTGCTCACCTGCTCACCCGCTCGCTCCTCGGCCCCCCACGCGCCGCTTTGAGGCCCGCCCGTCCCGCCCAGGCGATCGCGCCTGCTGCTTCCTCCCCTCTTCGTCCTTCTCCCCCCTCCCCCTCCTCCCCCCCCCGCTCCTCAGACGGCAAAGACGACAAAGCGTCATTCAGATTCAGCATCATGCATATCGCCTGCCCCGTTGCCATCGCTGTCCATTGCTCCTCATCCTCGCCCGCCCCTCAGCCTCCTCAGCCTCCTCGTCCAATTGTGCCCACATGTCCACCACGTCCGCTCATCACCTCATCCACATCCACGTCGCCACATCCAGTACTATTCCTCCTCATCCGCTCATCCGCTCATCCCCATCCACCTCCACTCATCATTGACTCATTCCCTCATTCCCTCACTTCTCTTCATCGCTGCTGGCACCTCGCCGACCATGTTCATGCGGATCGACGGCACGAGCGAGGCAGTGGTCTTCCTCTTCGTCACGTACAAGGCGACCGGTGACTCGAACGGGTCCGCCTCGACCACCTGCAGGTTCGCGTCGGGCTCCAGCGTGCTGGCCGACTCGGAGTGGAACGCGAGGTCCTGCAGCCTTGCCTGCGCCTTCAGGATCAGGTTGGCCATCGCGAGAGCAGGCAAGTCCCCCTCGCTGGTCCACTCGGCTCGAATGGCAGGCAACGTCTTATACTTCTCATGATCAATCTCCTGCTCCGCCCCCTTCTTCCCCGCGCCCTCGTCGCCGCCGTCGGCTGCAGCTGTGGGGCCACCAGGCGCGGAGACAGGCGTGATCGCAGCTATCATGGCATCCAGCTGCGAGCGCATCTGATCCCGATCGCGAGCACCCGAGTCGGCGCCGAACGACGCCTTCAAGAGCTCGAACCAGCGCAGCGCGAAGGTGTCGGCGTCCTGGTCATGCGTCTCGAGGAAGGCGACGACATCATTCTGCTCTGCGTAGACGAACATGAACGCACCGCTGTAGTCCAAGCAGCTCTTCCTCTCGGCGCCGACCAGGAAGGGTGACACGACCTCGCGGAAGTAGAAGAAACGGCAGCAGCGAAAACGCAGCAGGCGATCGCGCGTGTCGAACACGTTGTACGACAGCTTGCTGACTGGGGCGTTATCTGGCAACCCTGGGTGGGCGCTGACGACGTCGTGGACGTGCCGGGCGAACTCCATCCATCTCTGAGGGATGGCAATGAACACCTCCTGCGACGGAGGAGCGCAGAGGGGCGGGGGGGAAATGCGACGATGCGGGAGGAAATCGAAGCAACAAATAAGCCGATAACGGATCCACTGATCACGCGCCGGAGCGGAGGTGGCAAGTCATGCTTGCTGGGCCCCTGGGCCCCTCGGCCCCTCGGCCCCTCGGCACCTCGAATCCGAATGCGCAACTCCGCAACTCATAAAATCATAAAGCGTCGGCTCGCACGTCTGGGCGCTGACCCCAGGGCCCCAAGGCCCATGGATCACAGCGACGGGGATAAGGAGAGGACAGCAGCAGCAGCAGCAGCGGCGGGCTCCTTGGCCACCATGCCGCAGAGGCTCCGGAGCAGGCCGCCCTCCTGATCGGCACCCTTCGTCGGCGGCAGGCGCACCGCTTCAAGACGCCGAGCCACGTTGAGCATCATGTCCCTGCACGCGGGGGTCATCTGCAGAGGCACCTGCTTGCCGACGTTGGCACTGATGAACGTGACCATGCGCCTGGCGAATGTCTGGTCCTCGAGCATTGACTGCAAGGCGGTGCACGCGGGTGACTGGCCACGAGCCTCAGCATCCTGCCGCGGCTTCTGCGCCTCCTCAAGCTTGTCCCGCTCATCCAAGCTCCTCAGCATCTCATCGGCGAGCTCCTTCGACGAGGCGGCGGCTGCTGCGCCAGCGCGATGGTGGGCCAGGAGCAGCTCGTCAGCATGGGCTCTGATGATGCCGGCCCTGATGTCCTTGCGCACGGCCTTCCAACTGGTCACCACCACTCCTGCCAAGTTGACGGTCCCCAAGAAACAGAACTCAAGGCCCGTCCTGACAGCTTCCCGGAGCGCTGGCTTGACGAAAGCATCTTCGGGCAAGTCCGACAATGGGTTGAGGATGGCCGCCGAGAGATCGTCAAGCCAGTACTTCTGCCTCTCCGCAACGCCAGTCGACAAGCTCATGACCTCGTCGGCAACCTTGAATTTCGGCTTCCCTTTGGCCTTCGCCGCCTTTTTCTCCTTCGGGTTCTTATCCGAGGTGGCCTTGCGCTTCTTGCCATCGGCGGCGGCCTTGTACAAGGTGGAGCCCGCCATGCGGAACGTCAGATACTCGAGGAGCTTGGCAGTGGTGCCGGCTGTCGTGAAGATGTAATGCTTGCTAACGCAGTCCCCGTCGCCCTCTGTCCATACGAAACACATCTTGAGCAACTCGAGAGTCATGATTTTCAGCAGAGATGGACTCGCAATCGTCTGCTCGAAGACGTCTTCCATCATTGTCAGCACCTGCTTCATGATGCCGAGGATGGTGGCATTGGCGCACATCTCTGGCTTGAGGAAGTCGACGCCGCGATCGCCGCCGACCATGGAGTAGAACTCGTCGAACAGGCCGAACCTCGAGCGGGCGGGGCGGGGCTCGCGAGAAATCCGAGACTCCGAGACTCCGAGACCCCCAACCAAAACCAAACCGAACACGCGGCGAACACGCGCTTCTGGCACGTCTGACACTTGTGGGAGGGGGGAGGAGTCCGGGGAGGAGTAGGCGGACGGCGGGGCCCTGGAGTGCTGGAGTCCTGGAGCAATGTTGGAGTTTGCAGTGGCCTCCTGGAACGCACCGTGCCCCACGTGCCCCACGAACGGCCTGAAACCCGCAAACGCCAACGGCTGCAGAAAGTCCGCGGCCGTGTGGGGGTGTGGGGGGGGGGGGGGCGTTTCAAACTCTGGCCCCCCTGGGCCTCTGGCACTGGCACGCTGGCGCTGGGATCCAAACCCGTCTTGCCCACTGGCACGCTGGTTCACTGGTCACTGGTTCACCGTCGAATGCGAGTCGCCCTTTCAAGCGCAGCAGCACAGCGCGCTGAGCACGCTAGCGAGCGACCGCAGCGACCGACTTGCACTGGCACTGGGACTGGCACTGGCGCCTAAACGACTGAACCAACTAAACTAAACAGCTCACCCTGCTCACCCTGCCCCCGAAGCTTCGAACGCACTGCCCGCCGCCCCGCCTAGCAAGCGCAAGCATAGCAAGGCGGCAGTGGCAGTGGGCGGCTTTGCCCGCGGCCAGTGGCCTGATGAGCGCTTTCCGGACGGCCCTGGTGGTGATGACGAGCTGCTTCGACTTGCTGAACATGGCGCCAAAATTTGTCATCGTCCACTGCTCGAGCGCGGCGGTGTAGCTCTCTGGCCCCGACCTGGGAGCCCCGACCGACGTGGCGCCGCTCTCGGACATGCGATGCGCCTCCCACCCCTTGTCGATCTCCTCAATGGCCAGCAGCCTGGGCCAATGGAAAACGGGGCGGGGGCCATCTCAACTTGGCATCTTGGACGTGGGCGATGTGCCTGCTGCCAAACCAAACATCATTTTGCATCAGTTCCGCCAGTCCTCCTCGTCCTCCTCCCTCCCGCCGCCTCCGTCTCCCGCCCCGTATTGTCCGATAATTTCTCCTCCCCCTTAGACTCAGCAACATCATCACCATCACCATGATACCAGTACTCATCCTTCTCTTCTCATTCTCCTCTCCTCCTCCTCTCCGCCTCTCCGCAGCGCCCCTCACGGGCCCCGCAGGTGACGGTGGCGGCCCGCCGCAGCTGGCATGCAGCCGCCGCCAAGGCCAGACGTCGTCGGCGCACAAGGCGCCCTGGGCGGGCCCCGGGGCCTTGATCCAGCAGCGATCCAGCGCGATCCAGTGGAGTGGGGAGGCAGCTAGTTTGATGTTTGACCCATGCCCGGGAACAGCTCGAGGAACGTTGTGGCGACACCATGGTGCCAGTTGTTCCCCTCGAGCTTCAACCACTTGAGAACGTCATCGGGGGTCGTGGCCTTCCACACCTGAATGTGAAGCCCGTTCTCGATGATCTTCTTGACGTTCTTGTTGTTCGGCTCCATCTCGTGGGCGACGTAGATGGCCTGATTGAGAGATGAAAGCATTAAAGCTGCCTCCATCAGCAAAACATTGCATCAGTGCATCCGTTTCGTTTCGGGGGGCCCTGGGCCCCTGGGCCCCTGGGCCCTGGCCTCAGAGGGGAATCATTACGCGTGCGCAAGAGCGAAAGCAAAGCACTTCGACTGTGACTTGCACCGATTGCACCGACGAACACATTGCTTGCACACATCGGTACGTCGGCTGAAATTTAAGCGCTTCGCTTCTGCATCAACATCAAGTCCGCCATTGGCCATTTGGCCATTTAGCATTTGGGTTTAATTGTTTAATTCGGCCCTCTCGCTACGATGACAGACACGATTCAGATTGCCATCCGACACGACCCCGCCCCTAGGCCCGGATTACGTTGCTCAGTTGCTCTGCCAGCCAGAACGTTCCGAGCTGAATCCAGCCACGGCGAGCGCGCGCCGCC